CAGGAATGAGGGGGCGACTGGGAGACTGATAGTAATATAAATCAAACTTTTAATTACCATGCAATTAAAGTAACGTATTTCAATTAATTAAAAGCAATTTGATTGAGCGCGCACGGTGCAACTGGCCCACGCCTGGCCACAGCCCAAAAAAAAAGAAAAAAATGCAGACCGATAGGCATTACGAAACCTGAAATTTTGCGCGCCAAAATCTGCAGAAACCAAAACAAGCTGCGCAACAACATAAATATATTATTAAAGAAAAAATATATATATATTTATGTGTAGGTATATAAATAAAAACAGCTGGCCGCAATGCTGCGACTGAGGCAGGTGATAAGCTGCGGAGGGAGCCGCGTGGGAGCTGTGCGCAGCGACTCTATTGCGTCGTTGCGAAAATTAACTGCAATAGAGCACTAAGAGCCCAGGCACAGGTGGCGTTGGTGGGCCAGGTGGCGCACAGGGGGGTGCCGAGTGCCACTTGGCATAAATGCTAAAAGGCTCGCCACAGAGCTTCCTACACAGGCGTGAGCGGCTTCCGCGGCTTCTCGGCTACGACACCGACTCCGGCTGCGGCTCGCAAAATTTTGTTGTTGAAGCATTGGCCTAATACGAAAGTTGTTGCCCTTGTGTTGGTGTATACGCGGTGTGTTCGTGCCACAAGTGGCAATAACAAATTACACCATGCAACCAAATGTTGGCTCAGCAGACGAAGTACTTTACCCAATTTAATATAAATACAACTATAAACTTAGATATATCTTAGATATAGACATAGATATAGGTATACATGTAAATATAGGCATAGGCATCTACATATATCTATGCAGATATAAATATAAATATATATGATTATATTCTAAAATGATTATCTAAATTCAAATTGAAAATCTTTTCTGTCATGGGACTATTTTTTTTGACCTGTCAATTTATGTACCTTATCTTTCAAGACAAGGCTTAAGACTTATTACTTATGACTTAAGGCATTCTTAATGAATATAAATATATTCCTTATTGTTTATACTTATAAAACGGCTAACAAAGACTAAGTCACTTTCTGCTATCTTTTTAAATGTTTAGTTTTTGAAGACACACTTGCATATAGAGTACGCTTTATATAGCATGATTTATATATATACAATATAATATAATATAAAAAATTTATATAAATAATTGAACATAACCTTTAATTGATTTTTAAAAATATGATCAGAAGCAAAAGACTTAAGGTCTAACTCTCAAATTCAGAATTTCTTTAACAATAGCAGTCATATATTATTTATATGTTTTATGCATAGTTCAATATAAACTAGTTTGATTGCATAAACCATAAAAAACTTTGAAAAAAAAAAACTCATTCAAATCTACATGCTTGTCTTTTGTTTTACTATGTAAGCCTAAAGCCAGAACTTTTGTATGCCCTCAAAAATATTTGTAATAATCCAAATTCATATCTTCTAGTACTTATCACATAATACAGATATTACACATGCATATTTGGATCATGTGACAAACATTTTATAATTGACTTTATTATCGAATATTTCGCTATTGCATTTTTTAGCCAAAGCTAAAAATACGTAAATAAATATTCCTGACGATAAAATGGCCACGTAAATTGCTGATTAACAGACGTATTTTGCTGTCTAGTGTAAGTAATGAGCTAAGCAAGCACGTCACGCGTCAAACTTTGTACGTGTTGTTTCGTTTGTTGGTCAAGTGGGCAACAACAACAATAATAGCAACAACAACTGCAATAACAACAACAAATGCAACACGCGCTTAATTTTATTGGACGTCATGCGGTGCGCATGCGCAACGGACCTGCCGACCTGATCCACCAACAGCCAATGAATATATACACATATGCATATATGTTGTTTTTATTTATTTTTTTTTATTTTTGGGCCAAATGGCATAATTGGCTGCTCCACTGTGGTTTCGGGCCACCGTCTCACACTGCGACCCACTCAGTTACAAGCCCCAACATATGTGTATATTTGTACCTGAGGCGTTGTACGTGAGACATGAGAAGACATTCGGTTACACGTTTCGTTTCCTACCTGTGCCCAACCACACAGGCTATTGATTGATAAGCGCATTAATATCAATCAAACGGCAAATGCCAAAAATTAAATCATTGCGACAGTCTGACAAGAAGACGTCATACCCAATGCACACTGTGTTCGATAAATGCAATAAACTATTTATTTATATATTGGCGTTCACTGAAAGATCAATTCGTCCACTTTAAAATATAAATTATACATTATTACTAAGGTTGGATACACTGTCTAATGGATCCACTAATGCTGGCTCCATCTGTGTTAAGGGTAGCTAGGATTCATTTCAATTTTCACATTTATATGTTATAGGATACAGACAGAATACAGATCCAAGGCAAAGCTTAACGATACAGATCCATAAAGTTATGAAAATAAAGACTGAGTGCATATGTTTTCAAATTAAAACGTTTAGCCCGATTTATCAATTTAATTCGATTTGACATAATCTAGAATTAAGCTTAGTTATAAATCTTGTTTGAGCACAATTCCAGATGCAAATTCATGTGCTCATTTGGTGTAATGAGACCTGTAGAATTGTTGAGAAACACCTTACAGGTTGTCGCTTGTGTGGGTTCTAATTTATGGAAAACATATTTGAGCCTGCCCGCGTCTCAAGATCGAAGATTTGCAGTTGGTTAGTGCATTAAATGTGAGCTTTAGTGCGCCAGCCAAGAGCTGGATTTTGGATACAATTTGCTCGACGAGCAGCGTGTGGCCCATGTCTGGTTGGCTGTGTGCAACATGCTGCATGCGGCTAGCGGGCCGATTGTGCAGCAGGTTTGTCTCGTGTTTTTTTTTTTTTTTTTTTTTTTTTAGTTTTTTATTTCTTTGCTCGCGCTAATTTGCGCAAATCAAACAGCCCACAAGAGCAGCGAGCAGCATACGAAGGAGCCAAAGACTCAGCGCAACCAGTTTTTTTTTTGGTTCTTATTGTTGTTGTTGCTGTAACGCTGCGTGCAGTTGTAAAAACACCTGCTACAATTGATTAAATCACAGCAATTTATTATTAAGATTTTGCGAGTATATCTTTTTTTTTCAGTATGCTTGGCAAAAACCACAATAATACAAGAACAACAACAACAAAATAAATATCAAATCGAGGTTGATTGATTTTCGAGGTCTTGCGCTGGCGCGAATCAAACATTGTGGGTGTTCTCTACGTGAGGTTCAATTTGCTGCTCGGCCTATTGGGTTAGACATTGCGGCTACCAGTTTTCGCCGTTACTTCGACACAATTTTGCATAAATCAATTGGCAGGGTTTTCGCAATGAATTTGCCACGTTCTAAGGCGTTAATTGGGGTTTACTTTTGCTGAGCGATTTACATACTACACAAGCTGCGTGGGTTGGCTTCCATTGAGCGATTCAACGTGTCCGAAACGAATTAAAAGTCGATTTTAATACTTATGTATAATTGTCAAAAAGTGTCTAACGTATAATTTAATATTGATATGAAATTATAAGTCCGTCTTTTTGTTGCATGTCAGAGTCGGCCGAAGCGGGTCATTTGTTTATATAACTCCCTTAGGTATACTTAAGTTCTTTCATTAAAAACATTTCTCTTTATTCTGATATTTCTTGCTCAAACATAGCATTTATTTGCCTTATTATGCTCCCTACATATGTGAAATTCTATAAACATGGGACTTCATAATATAGTTCACTGATCGAAAAACGGGTTTTTGTATGGGAAGTTTATCAATATTACCACTTGCACTTAAATATTAATTAATTTGCTTATTCTTCTTACACCTGTGCAAAACCGCATTAGGAGTATCTGGAGTGCCCGACTAGGGTATACCGTGAACCTTTATCAACTATCACCAAATACAACAACCTTTAACAGATCGAACTATTTGCCATCGCATTATGCCTCATAGCTTTGGCAAGAAGTGAATTTGAACGGAAGAAAAACCGAAATGAAATTAGCAGCAATTACGCACAGTTAGGCACACACAATAGAATCGCAATTGCAATTCCAATTATAGAATTAAAAACCCCATGAATATATTTGTATGTACATATACAATTGTAGAAGTACTTGCGTTTTGCACTTGCAGCCACGTAGCTTGCAAATAAAACCACACGTCTTCTTTATTAAGTTTTGTTGTTCTTAAGCGATCTAGATAAAATTTGGATTTCTATATACTATTCCAGTAGTTACTCGCCAAATTTGGTGACTAGCTTTTAAAGCCTAAGAGATTTGCTCAACAATGATATTTTGTTGTAAGTTATTATCTATTTTATTATATGATACCCATTTTAAATAAGTACAGGGTATAAGAATAAAACTTGCTTCCAAAATCAAGACATCTAGTAGGGTATCTAAAAATTATCTCTGAGGAACACAACATTGGTAATAGAATTTCAACTTAATAACCAGCAAAGAAGATTTATTTAATATTTTAAAATAAATTGTGTTGTAAGCTTTAATAAAAATAATAAACGTCAAAAAAAAATTGACAAAAATATGTATTTCTTAAAAATACGATTTTATTTAAATTTACTTTTACCAAGACAAAAAGGCAGTCCAACTAGTAATCGGCTGCAACAAAATGTTCTATTCATTTACATAACTTGACATGAAGAAAACCAATTACTGTGACCATCTGCTAGCACATCAAATACATTGATGGCTTTATATAGTTGCCCAGCTGCTAAGGACAACAGAGTGAGATTATAGATTTAGCATAACATTGGATGTCTGAAAGCAATATTGAAATAACTGAAAAAAGCTTGTAAAAGTATGTACGGTTGTTGTAAAAAATATCAACAACATTGTTGCAATTAACAAGCACAAACAAGATCGAAAAACATGAAATCGATCGGATTGACCACCATGGAAACACGAATATCGCGTGCTTTAAATGGGCCCGGGGCATCTAATAAATAGGCCAGGCAATTGACACGACTAGCTACTGTGCGGTTCGAAATCGAAATGAAGTGGGCAGTAATATTTATATTCGTTCAGCTGGTGCACCACATTGCGGTAAATATTATGGCATGATTTATAAGGAAGCTACCACTGATATATCCCCTATGCAGGGCGAACAAGACTATGTGGTAAACAATGAGCAGCTCGAATCTTTCGACGGCGACTCGGAGACACTTGTGCTGTTTGACAGTCTAAAGACCGTGGGACGAGAACGCATGATCAACGGTTCGTTTTCCTTTCTGGGCGACATGGATAACGATGACTTTAAGGTTTCTGTGGAGCTTTATAGCAGTCCCAAAAGCGACGGGGATTTCAAGCGCATGGTTTTCGATGTGCCGCAGACCAGCATTTGCGAATGCTTCAAAAAGTTCTATGTTCAGTTCGTGCAGCCTTCAGTCAGCGACGGCGACACCACAAATTTTCCAATTGTGGGCGAGGATACCTGTCCAATACCGAAGGGAGAGTATTACATCAAAAATGTCTTATTCAATACCCAAGATTGGCCCGAGCAAGTGCCACGCGGCATGGTCAAGGCCATAATAACGTTCTTTACCGGTGGCAAGAATGTTGGTGGTTTCATAGTGGTCGTGAATATTTCAGATCGTCAATAGACGCCTTGATACATACTTTTATACAATTTCTGCACAATTTATTATTTTATTTGATAAACTTGCAATAAAGGTCTTTAAAAGCGATGGAAGCGAAACGTTTTAACAGCACAGTACAAAGGGCTCAAAAGCCTAACGATGAAAGAGATGTGTCTCAGTTGAAGCTCGAATTACATGCTGGTGTTAAAACAAACAGCTAAAATAAATCAATTGCGTGTTTCTCGCAACGACTGATGACAGCTACACTGGAGACGTCGCCACAATTCATTAGAAGCCAGTCATCAGCAGCCCATCAAAAGGCGAAACATCCAAATAAGAAATCAACAACAAACTCGACTTACGAGTTTCAGCCCCCCAAAACTGGGGTGATAATAAAGCATTTATTGAAAATTTATAAACAAAAAAACATGCACACACCAAAACACGAACGAAAAAAAAGTGAGGAAAGTCACGAAATTAAATGAAAAGTGCGCCAAGAAAAACTCAGCAGGAGATATTTTACATACACACGAATGGATTTCCCCAGAAGTGGCGGCCCGTGATCTCTGATTTTATTTATAAATTCATTCACGACACATACACACGCACACACACACACACACAATCGCACACCCAACGAGGGCGGTAAATGGGGGGCAGCAGATCGGCTCTGTTCAGTTTGGTTTCGGTTTCGGGGGTCGCCAGCTACACGCGCCGCCTGCCACGTGTTAAAAATAGAAACCGTCGACAGCGACCAAGTCAAATGGGGGATTTTCCGAAAAATGAAAACGTCACTTTAGGCTGGGCATTAGTTTTCACTGTGGCGACCCAGGTTGCCTTGCTCCAGCCGCCAAACATCTGCGGCCGCAACTATTTGAGGCATTTTCCAAGTAATATGCAACACATGTTGTGCCCCCTAAGAATTGTAACTGGCTGCTTGGCGTAGGACAATGCGCGTGCGCCCCGTGCAGCATAATATATAATGAAAAAAATCATCCTCTGTCAAATGCAGCGGCAACAGCATCCAACAAACATCAAGTGACAGTTAGGGGCCTCGTTGCTCCCACCAGCTCATGTCAGGCATGACATTAGATGATGCTGTGCCCCGAGATAAGTCCTTCAAACTCAAAGCCCACTCGCCCCCTAGCGAAACTCGCACACACACTCTGTTGCACAATTGTCAATCAAAGACTTGGAACTCTGCCGATGCACGTTGCGGCAGAGCTTGACGACAACTGCAGCTAAAAGTTGTACAGTTGTCCCCAAAAGGTTGTTACCTTCTGTTGGAGCTTTTGCTATGTTGTGCAACGAAAAAGATGCGTGTTAGTAAATTCACTTGACCTCAGCAACAAATTTAACACTCAACTATACAGTCTCATCATTTTAATGTCTTCTTCAAAAATGTTCAAATTTGATTTTTTTTTTCAGAATTTACACAATCATTTAATGGCCTACGAACAGGGTCATAAAAATGGTCGTGTCCACACACACAGCCAGCTGCAGCCCCGCTTATGCCCCCCCAAAGATCTTGCCACAAATCAAATCAAAGCATACAAATTGTTTTCAACAGAATTATGGCATATCTATGGCCGGGTATGATACCAAGCGACAATGATTAAATATTTGAAACTTCTGTTTGGCCATTAAAATGTCGAGGCGGCGGCATCTCCAGCCGCCTCACATTGCGTAGAACTTTAACAATTTTATTAATGGGTCGCGTGATTTAATGTGTGCCCCCATATCTATCCATCTAGCTATCTATCTGTCTATAAGGGAGCCATAGACTATAGGCCGTAGATATGGTTATGTTTATGGAATCTGTTGTATGTGCGCTGCCCTTTCGTCTGTTGCTTAATTGCGTAATGATTGAGTTAGTTGTTAGGTTTGGTTTGGTTGGTTTGGTTTATGATCTAAGCGCTAATTGTGTATTATGTGTATTATGTATTATGTATTATGTGTATTCAATTGGACCAACTCGATGCAGCTTTAATTGGCTTCCGTGTCTAGCTGCAGTTGGGGCATCGACTCCCCATGGTGGTAATGAGCTGATCTAAGTAGCGTTTGCTCCTGCTATCATGTTTGATGATGTTTTCAACTATAACCCCCAATGAGAGGTACCGACAATTAAGTTTCCCACGCTATACAAGTAAAAAGGAATATTAAAAAATAGAAATCTTTTAGCTTTTGCAATGCATTCATCAATATCTCAACTGCTTATTGCGTTGTCAACGCAAATTTTAAGACACATTTTCTATATGGCCTCAACGAGTCATAAAACTTTGCTAATTGAACGCAGGCTGTGCACCCGGGACTATTAAAATGTGCCCCCAAATTAAAAACAGGCCAAATCATGGCCATTATATAGACCCCAAATCGGGAGCAATCTTTCGGGGTGCCATCGATTTATGATACTCGAAATGTGACACGCGGAGCTGTAAAATTTCGAAAGCATTTTAACAGGCAGCCTACATTTCGAGATTTTTATTTTTTTTTTACGAGTATTACACGCAAGCTTGTTGCCAATTTGTGCAAAAATTGCGGCCACTTGATATTTGAGTGAAATTTCAAACTAGACTTTGAGGGCCGTTGAAGTGCTCAAATATATGGGAAAATAAAAAACTGGCCGAGCGCAAAATAATTAAAGTTTTTGTATCCAGAAAATGCCAGTTGAATGGATGAATTTAGTAGAACTTTAACTATTTAGGTTAAATAATGTATATTTAAAAAAAAAAAACGTTATAATCGCCCGAAAGTATGCAATGAGAATTTAACAAAAGTCAGTCAAAGTTAATTTTATATAGTTACCATCCTGTCCAACGTTTGCCACAAAAACCAATTTATAGATAATAAAATAATTAATCATGCACTTGTCCAACTGAAAGTCCTGAACCAACACACCCACATACAGTAAGAGGACACGCAAACACCCAGCACATTATCCCCGGACATTAACTCAGCTGTCCGAAGAAACATGATTGATGTGTGAGCCCCGAATGGGATGACTAAACAATTTCTGGCATTTTGCAGCGTGCAAAAATCCGAAAATGGGAAAATCGTTTGGGGAAATTATGATAAGACAATTTGACTTGACTTAGCTTCTAATTAAACCTGACTCGCTCGTATATTTCTCAATTTTTCCATTTCTATTTAGTTCCTTTTCATTTTTTCCATTCTTTTTTTTTTTTGTGCGGCATCATGGTAAATAAGAAGCGTAGCTCATTAATGCAGCAGCAGATTTGTAGCAGCTCCTGCCGCATGAATTATTCATGTGTAATGTGTAGTGTATGGGTGTAGTTGTGGGTGTGGCGCTCATGCAGACCAAAAGTGGTTGGGCTGTGCAGTCAGCTGGCTGACTGGCTGTGCGGTGGCCTTTTAATTTACTAACTGTTTGTCTAAGCCGTTTTACCCTCAAGTGGCACACTTATTGCAGGGATTGGGTCCCTGGCAATTCATAATTGGGCTCAAGTGCTTAATGGCAGTGTGAATGGTGAAGGATTCGTGTCCGTAACGCATAATGACCAATACGAAAGAATTAAGTGATTGCAATGAGTGCATTCATGCTGTTAGATGACTTGCTAAAGGCTGGCCAAAGGATAACAGGTGTTGGCGGCGAGTGGTATGAAAGGAAGACAGGAAACGGAAAGCCGCTTTAAATGATGAATCACTGTCAAGGCTTGGCTGAAAGGCATCAGCAAATAGAACTTCACTCGTAATTATGGCCGAATATTTTAAATTGATCGTTTTTTTTTTTTTTTGTACTTTCAAGCCAAGCAAAGTAACAATTGGCTTTGCCTTTACCCTTGCCATTGCACCCAAAACAGCATCGAGTAGGTATCGAGTTACAGCAACGCTTTTCTGCAACGCGTTGCAACTTGGACGATGATTTATGTGCGGCCGCACCTACATTTATGCCATAAAGTGGCCATAAATCACACCAGGAGGCAAAACTGCGACTCCGCAGATCTGGCAGCTGCACTTGGAGCTAGGCTCGAGCCGCCAAGCTGCAGCTTGAAGGTGGTGCTGGTGCGGTACGAAAAAAATAAAAATAAAACGTGCCAGCCAAGTGTCTGTCAGAAGGCAACAACAAAGCCCGCAGCAGAGTCGACAACAAATTGATATTTTTAACATGTGAGTTCAAATAGATAAAGTCAATTGATGGACAGAGAGTAGGAAAATAAGAAAAATCAGTAGCAAAAACGCAACAGCACACACAAGCACACACACACTCATACGATTGCATGGACGCATGGACGGGCGACTGTCCAAGTCCAAATGCGTGCTGGCTGGCATGACAATTAGCCGGCGGGCTGCCCAGAGTGACGCCTCCAAACAAAGAGACAAGCTGCGAGTGCTGCCTCCCGCTACCCGCCTTCAACTTCACTTAAGCTTTCGCCTGCGCCTCTGACTGCGCCTGCCACAAGTTGTCAATTTGTTGTCTCTGGTTGGTGTTTCTCTTGTTTGGGTATATCTTATACCCTTAAAGAGGGTCTTATACTGTTGTCACCAAATGTGTAATGCATAGAGGAAGATCTCTTTGAAGCAAAAATAGTCGGTCTGTTCTCTTCTTAAATTTTTCTTCTGTTTCTAAGCTATAAACAAATTTGGAATGGATGCATAGCCAATTGGTAAATGAAAAAGGATAATAATTCTGGATGTCAAATTTTTGGAAAGGGAATACCTTAATTATATAGACCGTCAATATACAAATCAAGCATCATATATCTGTGCAAATTATTAGAATTATAATTATTGTCTAATATGCCTCTAAGGGTATTCATAACTTCGCCTTACTTCAATATCTCTTATGCAGTCTTGTTCATTTTTGTTTTGCCCGAACACTTGTCACAAATTGTGCAAATTTATTTTACGCGCTAAATGCAAAACGTGCCCGGCCAGCTAAATGGCAAAAATTACACTCGTCTACTCGATACTCGCAGACGCGCTGCTGCCTGTTTTCTGTGTACTCGTACGTTGGCATTGGCTCTTCTATTGTCAATAACTGTGCCTTCCCTGAACTGGCCCACCCACAAGAAACGCATTTTGAATAAAAGTGCTTAAACTTAAACTTGCATGCATATGTATACAAAAATAAATCTATATGTA